ATTTTTAAAAGGTACCTACTCACACAGGGATTTGTTAATAATTGTTGTAAATGAGTTATAATAAGCAGTGGCACTTATATATGATGTTTAAGGGGGGGGGGGCGGAAATAAAGCCAACTTTTCCCACAGAGCATTTTTATATAATATATAACTTATAACATAAAATTTACGTAATATGAATTATAAGTATAATAATGTTTATATATTTATAATATTAATACTTAATATAATTTTATATTAGTTTATTAAAAAAATATATAAATAATGTACCATAGATGTATTAACTTAATGGTTAATTAATTACATATCTTATAATAATTATAATAAAAGCATATGGCTTTTTTTTCTTKGCAAAACGTATATAAAAMACTATACTAGAAGGACACCTGTGAGCGCTCCTCCAAGCCATCGAGTGTCATAGACATATAAATTAAAATACATGTTTTATTGTTTTATATATGTTTATGGTGTTTATCCACTGATTTCTGTACCAAGTTAGTCTATGTGTTTATCACATATTCTAATCACAGTTCTTAGACAACAGAATAAACCACAGACCATGAACTAAGATACCTATATATATATATCTTATATAGTTCATGCCACAGACTAATATATTATATATTACATCTGTGCTAATATTATGATGTAGGTGCTATCCGTGGTGAAAACGTAAAATATGATCAAGGAAGACCTCAAGAAGTGGGGGCAACCACCTATCCCCCCTCCTTATAACCGCAACTGATAATAAAAATGATATTTAACGCACTGTCTCTCCGTGGCTTATATCATAACTGAACAAATCATTATTTTCTGCTGCAGTAATCGTCGTTGAAATCGAACTTCTATCATCATCATCATCACTTGCTGGGTTTCTGTCGCTTGTTTCACCATCGCACGAAATATTTTCTGCAGTGACTGTTGTTGAAAATGATCTTGTATCATCATCACTATCTGATGTTAAAGTTAAATCGATTACATCCATATTATGGCTATCAAGAAACGGGTAAGTAGACTTTCTGCTGCTGGCTAGTCGTAGTACTTTCTATTGAGCTTGCAGTCGAATACTTGGAGAATGATGTCTACACGAATTTAATGTATAAATAAAAAATGCATATAGTAAAATACAATGTTTTATGTATGTATGTATGTTTTATATATATATATATATATATGTATGTGAGGGACTCACACAAGAATTTGTTAATTGTTGTTGTAAATGAGTTATAATAAAAATGAGATTATACGTATGTTTTCGTCGTCTACATTTTCATCATCCGACAACATAATATCGTCATCAGTTTGGACCGCCTCATTGTCTGACTGCGGGTTATTGGCGAGTTCTTCACAACCCCATATAATAATTTCGGGTCGATTACCGTTTAACTAACAATAACGTTAAAAAAATAAAATGTTTTTCATCAGTCTATAAAATATCTCGGTAAAATATGATTGAAAACGGTACGACAATTTTAAAATATTAAATATATTATAMTAAAATATTCAAATTTTCGTACTATACACACATATGTCACAGATAGTCCAAAATAGGGAAAATCTAAATTAATGCTCTATAATAAAATAATACCAATGCTTATGGTATTCTTTAACCAATTACACATAGTAATAAATTAAATAACAATAATATGTATAAATATATTATTTCATGACTGTGAAAATTAAATTATTATTAATTAATTTATATATTAATTTACTCTAATATATCATTAACAAATTATTATTTAAATATTATATTTTACCGTTTTAGTAATAAAGCAATGGCTTTAAAATAGTGCTGTAATATTTTATCAATATAACTTCAAAAAGAAATAAAAAATAACTATATTTRAGTAAAATAAGGTAGAACTTAACATTCAATTTCATTAAAAATTTACCCATTGTGGAAATACGTAGAAATAAAAATATTACTAACAACTAAACTCCATATAAGAAACAAGAAAGAGCGTGACCGTATAAACGTACAAAACTACAAAGTACAAAATTACAAAATATGTCTATTATAGTAGTGTCTARTGTGTCTGGTACTGGTTAAAAAAACCATTAAAATATTTTTAAAAAATAGGTGGTGATTATTATTTTGATTACCTGTGTCGTTCAAGCACGGATTCAGTAGGGGAGTGGAGGGGGCGGCCGCCCCCCCCCGTAAGCTGTGTTTTGTTTAGGAAAAATTATGCCCAGTAAAAAGACCCGACGCACGGCGCGATAGCKCAACCAGACAATATGTAAATTAGTAAATTTAGATATAAATGATATAATTCGAAATTCGACCATTCTAAAATGGTTTATTTTTATACCACAAAACAATAAAAAATATTTTTTAATAACAAAATATTTTATTTTGATTTCAATTCTAAAGATCGTAATTTTA